TGTCTGCAAGCGAAGGACCAATATCACAAACAATTATTAAATTCATTGGCTATTTCAAAAGAATCAGTAATAATTTTGTCATCCCTTTGAATTCGCTTTGAACATTAGCATTGACAGTATTTTTATTAATAATTTCATTAATGATCTTCCATGTAGTTTTCATACTTTCTGATAATCACAACATTTATTTTCGTAGAACTTCCGTTTCGATGAACGCAGTAAGTAATTCAATTTATTTCTGGATGTTTTGTAGCGTTTCAAAAACAGGGGTGAGGGATTAGTAAGGTAGTCCCGATACAGTTTATTCTTCTTTTGCAATAGAACGCTTTAAGCTGTTTGTTAACCAGGTTTTGCTTGGGTTGGTGTAATTTTTTCTTCTTTGAAATGGAAAAGTCTCATCAAAGATCTTAAAAATATAGCATGGAAGATGTTATACCCAAGTTGAGTGTCATGTTCATCTTCAACACAGACCAACTGACTGCAGACAGTCTGTCAATAAATGTATCAATATTTCTGTTACTAAAATTTCTGAGAACCAACTCATTAACAAGAGTACCTTTGAGGGTTCAAAATAAAATACAGGAAGATGGTCAGATAAGTCACAGCAAAAAATACCAGGAGTCCCAGAGACACAAGTGGAATTTGTAAATATATTATCAATCAGTTTCATTATTAGCAGTAATTCTTGTTGCTTTGGTTATGAGAGGGACAAAAGACAAGGCATTACGATGGTCAATAAATTGTGATGATTGGCTATTTAGGAGGTTGATATTGAAATCACCCATAATATAGCATGTTTTTTTCTCGTTTGCAATCTTACCTAGAGCATGATAAAAACAATCAATGAAGTGATTTAAGTTGGAATTTGTGGTCTATAAATGAAGCCAACAATAACCTTTTTTCTAGAGAAAGGCTCAACAAGCTCTAAGAAGAAGCCTCAGTTTCATCTTCAACCAAAGAAACAAGATAATTTCAGAGGGAAGACTGAATGTTCTCCTTAGCAAAGAGGGATACACCACCTCCACTTCGATTTAGTCTAAAATAAGGATAGTAATGATAACCATGCATAGAGAACATAGACACTTTCTGGCTGGTTAGCCAAGTTTCAGTCAAACCAATTACTGAAAAATGTATAGGGAGTACAGAAAGGTAGTCAATAAGACTATCAAATTGTTTAGGTAGACTGCGAGTATTTAGGTGGAACAAGGAAAAAATATTATCATTAGTTATATTTTTCTCCTACTGCTGCTGCTGTGAGGCCTGGTAGCTGCTGCTGCTGCTGTGAGGCCTGGTAGCTGCTGCTGCTGTGAGGCCTGGTAGCTGCTGCTGCTGCTGTGAGGCCTGGAGGCTGCTGCTGCTGTGAGGCCTGGTAGCTGCTGCTGCTGCTGTGAGGCTGGTGGCTGCTTCTGCTGTGAGGCCTGGTAGCTGCTGCTGCTGCTGTGAGGCCTGGTGGCTGCTGCTGCTGTGAGGCCTGGTAGCTGCTGCTGCTGTGAGGCCTGGTAGCTGCTGCTGCTGTGAAGCTCAGGATTGTGGGTGCATGCTTATATTTCAAATAAGCATGCATCTTTCTCAAATCCACTGTGTCATCACCTGGCTCCATGGCCATGACAAATACTAAAAGGAACAGCCCAATTTGAAGAAAACAATGATTTATTTGCACAACCAGCCACAACCATAGCACAAACAAACGAGTCAAAGTTTAGGCCAAAGAGAGAGCGGCAGAATCCACCCTGGGTTGGGCTTTTATGCCCTGCCAGACACAGGCCCAGGTGCCCTCGATTGGACATCCAACTCCTCTACTAGAACTAGGGGGGACAGAATCAATTAGTAAGATCTTGACTAAGGCAGTGACCGTCACAACTGATCCTCACCCACAGGTTGGTCAGTATGCTATGAAGTTCTGTCTTAATGAGATATTTGTGGCCTCTCCTGCTGGCGCACAATAGACTAAATGTCAATGTCAATGTTAGTACATCCAATCTGCATGAGGTGGAACAGTGTCTCATCTGTCAGTCTGTTTCTCTCTTTAGATTTGATGTGCTTCATTGTTGAGAAGTTGCTCTCACAGATGTAAGTGCTCCCAAATATGCCGGCCGTTGAGAGTGCAAAATCCCTGAGGAGTGGAAAGCGTGACTCGGGTAGTAGTCTCCAGAAGGAGATTCCCCTCTCTTGGCGCTTTGCTTGGAAGAAGGGTCTGACTGTAGTTCACACAGTTGAAGCTGCAGCTCAGGGGGCTGCGCACTGACAGCAGCAGAGAGCGGGTCAGTGAATAACACGATGCGTGGCTTCATGGTGTAGAAATCTTGAAAGCGGTTCTTAAACTGCTGCTGCAGTTTTTCTATCTGTACTTGAGAAGTGTTTTCTGGCATTCGGGGGCATCTTTGCACATCTGTTCAACTGAGCGGAGGTGTGCCAAATTTGGACGGTCAGATGAAAAGTCTTCTTTAAACAGGGTTAGTTTACTCTGAAATGCGTTCACGTGTGCATATAGATCCGAAGGGGTCTGGCTTCTTCCCTGCAACTGCATATTCAGGTGATTAAGATGTGAGGTAATGTCTGCAAGGAAAGCCATGTCGAAGAGAAACTCTGTATCCTGAGTTTACTGCAGTAAGCACTTGTATCGCATCGGATGCTGTCCTCCAAGAACACTGGATTTCAGCGAGCAGCGCAAAAAACCTCTCTAGGCGTTTCCCACGGCTCATCCACCTTACCTCTGTGTGCATCTGTAAATCCCCATACACAGCGCTCACTTCATCCAAAATGGCTACAAACGTCTTATGATTGAGAGACCTGTTCCCTCCTCGAATGAGATTGGTAACCTTGGTAACTAAATCCATGACATGGCTGAAGTTCATTGACTTGGCACAGAGGGCCTCCTGTAATATCAAAATAAAAGGATTTAGCTACATTTTAGCCTGTGATAAAAATTCTCACAAAGAATACCCACATTCTATTAATAGCTAGCAACAACGTTACCCACCTGATGTATGATGCAGTGCAGTATTGGACAGTCAACGCCACTCTGTTGGAGGAGCCCGGCGAATCCAGTGTGTTTTCCTTGCATTGACGGCGCACCATCGGTAACAACAGCTGATAGCTTGTCGAAGCCTCCATACTCACTCACAACACTTTGAACAGCGTTGAAAATATCCCGTCCCTTGGTAGTGTCATGCAAAGCCACCAGTTTCAATAACTCCTCGTGCACTTCAAATGAACTGTCAATGGCTCGTGCATAAATAAGAAGCTGGCTAACATCCGTCACATCCATACTCTCATCCAACGCTAAGGAAAAGTACTTGCAGTCATGCATGACTTCTTTAAGCTTTACCTCAACATGATTTTGAATATCGAAAATTCTTCTGGTCACTGTGCGTCAGGACAGAGAGATCGTTTCAAAATTCTTAGCCATGTTATCGTCTCCAAAAGCTTTAGCCATCTCTACTGCACACCGCTTCACTATTTTGCCATCTGACAAGGGCTTCTTTGCTTTAGCAAGCTCAAGGGAAACAGCGTAAGACGCCTTGAGAGATGACTCCTGTATAGTCGTGGCTTTGGTAAAAAAACTCTGCTGATGGTGTATTTTTCCTCTGAGGTCAGCGACGATAGCGACTCTTGCAGCTCCGTTGTATTTGTCATATTTGTCTTTGTGCGTGGTGTTGTAGTGGCGACTCAAGTTGAAATCCTTCATAGCCGATTTTGTTTCCAGGCACACTAAACACAAAGGTTTGCCTTTGAATTCTGTAAAAAGATAATCTGTTTCCCATCTTGGCTGGAAAACACTTTTGGCCGCTCATGTCTCTTTATCCCGCTAGAAGAGGAGGCCCGGGAGGTCAACACAAGACCATGTGCAGATGGCTACAGGCCTCTTACCTTTTTATTTTATTTATTTTTTTATTTTTTTGGGGGGGCCCTCTATTGGTGGGCAGCATGAATTACAGCTGGGGTCTTGTTCAAATGAGATGCTGGTTTCCAGCGACAGTGACTCCAATAATTTATTGATTTTTGTAAATTGACTCGCGGGCCACACAGAATGAGGACGGGGGCCGCCAGTTGTCCATCCCTGTTCCACAACATCCCTTCTTCCCCTTTCTCTCCCCTCACTACACAGCTCACTCCTCCCTGAACAGCGCCCACTAGGTGGCCTACCTAATAACAGGATATTAACATTACTGTAAACACTTGTAACCAACAATATAGCAATCATTTAAGAACATACTAAAGTTATGTCTCCATAGAGAAAGAACATAATAAACACATGTTTCTAACTTATTTGCATATCCCATTTTCACTCTTACACTACTAACTCGGTCAGATTGACTCAGACAGTTTGTGAATGAAAGTGAAAGTTAACTCCGCTTGTTTGAGCCCATGACAGAGCATTGGGAGATACGCAGGACTTTATTTATTTATCACAGTAGTGTTAAACCTTCAGATGATCAGATTATTTTTATATATTTTGTTGGTTCATGTGAAGTTTTAAGAACAAGTGTATACAAGTGAATACTCTTCTTACCAAAGTCCATAACTCTGTACAACAGCTCACCTCTTGCGAGCAGAGAACTGTCATCATGATAATATCTGTCTCTCCATACTGTCATCTGTTCTGCACATGTTAAATTTACAAATTATCCCTACACTCATGTTCACTTCATTTGTCTGTCTACTCACTGTTATATTGTATAGTTTCTGCTGATAATATGTCTACACTCATCCACTTTAACTTATGTCAATACTGTCCATTTACTACTCTGTTTTTGCACATTTACATTTAATCTTTTATATTTAAGACGAGTAATGCTTAGTTAAATCCTGGTGGTATATATTCTCATTCTTAGTTTTGATATTTTTAGTGCTTATTTACTTTGTATTTAATATTATATTGTGTTTAAATTTGCTAATATTGTGTTTTTTGCTCATATTGTGTGTTTGGACAACCTGCTGCTGTAACGCCACAATTTCCCAGTTTGGGATCAATAAAGTCATTCTATTCTATTCTATTCTATACATTTGTGAGAGTTCAAAGGTCAGATACAGGGATAATCTGGAGTTTGTAGGGATGTAGTTGAGTCTTGTTGTGCTTTTGTTCTGTATGGCTGCTCTGGGATTTAATAAAAAGTCCTAATCCAGATATAAATATAGTTTAATATAAGTTATAGTGAGTAAATGTGGTGAGGTGCTCTCCTGTCCTGCAGTAACTCAATGTGCTCTGTGATGATCAGATATTTAAATACACGTGTGCACAATCATAACATTGAATAATGTTATTAAATCAGATGAAGGAGGACGTCTTATACCTTTTTGAAGTACTTATCATTTTCTTCTTTTATCACTTTCTGCATGTGTTGTGTATAACTCTTCAGTAGAGGTCTACACACAGGTCTTAGCACAGATTAGGCCGACTGTCAGGACAATCACTGACACACAAAAGATGGTTTGAATGAAATAACATCAGATCACACTTTACAGATCCAGCTTTATCTGACAGGTTCAATGATCCTGAACTAGTTTGGAGCTTTGGACGCTGAAAACTGCTGGAACAAGAGAAATGTGACACCTTTGTTGATGTTTGAACACCTGATGCTGTGTTTCATTTTGCTCTGCTTTTAGTGCTGAGTAAACTCTGCTTCAATCCTCACTCATGGTTTGAGAAGATCGTAAGGTTTTAAAAGATATCACTATATCACACAAACAAAGCTTTATAAGAGTTCTTTTATCTAAATAACTTGAACCTGCATTCTTTCTAATGACCAGCAGGGGGCAACTCCACTGGTGGCAAACAGAGAACTGGACTGTATGGAAGCAGTTAATAATGAACGAGCTCTGAGACGGAGAAAAGTTAAGATGACTAAGGACCCATGACTGACTGATGGTCTTTTCTTCATTTCATCTGAGGTGAGGTAGTTTGGGTTTTTCATTCAGATGATTTGTGTTTTATTGTTACGTTCTCGGGGAAGAGGGGAGAAACAATAAAATAAAACCAAGGAGGAAAAAACAGTTGACCAAAATATTTCTTGTATCGGCTAAAGGTTAAAAACAGCTGATGTCATGGTTTACTCTCGTTTAGTTCATTCCTTGTTTTGTTGTTATTTTCTGTCTATCAAGAAATATCTTTATATGATTAAATATGCCTCATACTTTATAGCCTGATTGATCATTTTTAGTTAATTTAAACTATTAAGATTATAGTACCTTCAGCTCAAGTCATAAGTCCATGAGGACTGACCGTAGACCAGGGTGGGCAAACTTTTTGACTCGCGGGCCACAATGGGTTTTAAAATGTGACAGAGGGGCCGGGCCAGGAACAGATGGATGGAGTGTTTGTGTGAACTAATACAAATGACATGTAAAAGCCATTACATGAAAGGATTTGGCCTTTAACAGGTAGCAAAGCATGAACATGCAAGGCTCATTGTACAAATTGATTTCCAAATGCATTCATTTGATTAAATTACATTTGAATAAACACAGTAGAGAAACTCAGGTTCAGTTTCAGTGGGAACAGTGTTGTTGATCTCCCTTTTTCGCCAGTGCATTAAAGTCTGGAGTTAGTTTAGTAGTGGCAATTCTCAGGATAGATCCGAGGTGTTGGTCAGTTAACTTGGATCTGTGAGGGGCTTTGTTGCTGTTCATGACGCTGAATGTCTGCTCACATACGTAGGTCAAACAAAGTCAGCATCTTCTGTGCCGTCCTCCGGAGGTTTGGAAACGAGGCTTCGTTAAGTCAAGCATAAAAGTCATTCAGTTTAAGAGAGTTGAACTTCTCCTTTAAGACGGAGTCAGACTGAAGATTGATCAGTTCCAATTGCAGCTCCTGTGGTGCTGTTTCAGGGTCTTCTGACAGGGGACAGGACACCAGCTGAAGCTGAACTTTTCAATGTTTTCAAAATCAGAAAACCGACGGCAGAATTCTCCGTGCAGGTCGTCAAGAGATTTGCTGTATTTCTTTGCGTTTGGCGTCGCCTCTGTCTGCATGGCAAGTGTGGGGAAATGAGCGAAAGATTTGTTTGCAATTTGTCTGGAGAATAAAGTTAGCTTGGATTTGAAGGCTCTAACATTTTTGTACATGTCGTGCACAAACTGATCTTTCCCCTGTAGTTTCACATTCAGCTCATTCATGTGTGAAAATATGTCCACAGCAAAATGCAAAGTCACAAAGCCACTTCTTGTCGCTTAGCTCAGGAAATTCGTCGGATTTCTCCATTAACTCCAAAAATGTGCCGATCTCCTCTTTCAGCTCCCACACTCGTTGAAACACTTTGCCCAAACTTAACCAGCAGAGAGAGAGTGGTTCAGTAAGTCCTGATGATCAGTTTCCTCCAGGAACGTAATAAACTGTCGATGCTGAAGTCCCCTTGCTCGTATCAAGTTAACAAGTTTTCCAACTGGATTCACGACATGATTAAGCTGCAATACAGACTTACACAGAGATTCCTGATGGATGATGCAGTGAAGGAAAATAACATCCTGCTCAGGGTTTTCCTCGTTCACTTTATCCTGGATTCTTTTCAGCAGCCCAACATGTTTTCCAGTTAAATTTGGCGATCCATCCGTTGTGACATTGGCAAGTTTACTCCAAGGTAGCTTCATTGTCTCGATGACAGCAGACACCTGGTTATAAAAGTCCTCTCCTCGCGTTTTTCCTTTCAGGGACTCCATGGTCAAAAACTCCTCCGTTATCTCAAAACTGTCATTAATCCCTCGGATAAAAATGAGGAGCTGAGCAGTGTCTTTAACGTCATTACTTTCATCCAGCGCTAGTGAATAGAACTTAAAGGACTCAGCCTTTTTCTTTCATTCTCTATATCTTCATCAATCAGTTCCACACGGCGAGTCACAGTCCTGCGTGATAAACTGATTTTTTCAAACTGGCTCTCCGGACACAAAGAGACCTGCTGTCTCTACTGTGCATTCTTTTAAAAACTCACCTTGGTAGTTGACTCTTGAATCGCAGTTTGTTGGTGAAATGTTGCTGAGTCTGTAAATTAGCCTTCAACCTCTGAGCCGCCCGTTCTTGCGCGGACTGCTTGCTAGCGTAGTTAGCATGCTTCGTAGCAAAGTGACGGCTGATATTGTACTCTATGAAAACTGCGACAGTTTCTTGGCATTTCAGGCATACAGCCTTTGATCGGACTTCAGTGAAAAACTATTTAGTTGTCCACTCCGTATTAAACACTCGGCACTCACTGTCCACTTTTCTTTTCTTTGGCCCGCTCATTTGTACAGAAGGGTTCTTCCGGGTTCTTAAGGGAGTAATACACCACACTCTGAAGTGCGCCATCTATTGGGGAAATGCAGGCATTACAGGGGAAA